TCAAATTTTTTTCCATACGTCAAAGCCTAAAGTTAGCGATTTAGTACTAGTAAGGCACTAGATATGTAGGTATTCTCATCCGCCATTTTGGTTCCTATTAGATGGAGAATTATAGCGTATACAGGGTGACACTTAAAGACTACCCACTAAGTACATAGCGTTATTCCTTGCCAAAAAATGAGTCGAAAAAAGTCCTGAATCATTTTTAATAATTGACGTGTTACACATGTACGCTATACTATACTATATACGCTATAATTCTCCATCTAGTAGGAACCAAAATGGCGGATGAGAATACCTACATATCTAGTGCCTTACTTTTTCCAACGTCTGTTAAGGCTGATGACAAAGAAAGAGCGTAAGCGCTTCCATCTGCTGTAACATAAACATATTTACACAATAGCCTTTCACGACTCACGTTTTTCTCTGCCTTATTATACATCCACGACTACGGGTTACGGCTCGTTCTCTGCCATCAGCTAAGGGCCACCGCACAAGCTTCTCCGTAACGCGTTACGTTAAGTACTGATCATAAACCTAAACCCGTACATAAATTTGAACTTCAGTCAATGCACAAACAAAAACGTAACGTAGCAAAAGTGTCACGCGTTACGATTTTCTTTGTGCGTTGGCTAAAGTTCAAATTTATGTACGAATTTAGGTTAGTTTATGATTAGTACTTAACGTAACGTAAAGCGTTACGAAGAAGCTTGTGCGGTGGCCCTAAGATAATATAATCTTGAAATAATGGAGGATTCACATTTGGCCGGTATTCATAGTCCGTTCTTATATTCAAGATCGTCTTAAGCACGAACTTATATTCGCTCTCTTCGTCAGACACAATCTATTAGCGTTTTCGATTATACAGGATTTGAACGACCCAAGATTGGTTAATGACGTCATTGCAACCTCTCCACCAATGAAAGACTTGCATTTATAGTAAAATAGTGATTGATCAACCCTAGATCGTTCAAACCCCGTTTATTCGAAAACGCTATATGTGTGACGAAGAGAGCGAATATAAGTCCGTGCTTAAGACGATTTTGAATATAAGAACTACGGACTAAGGAATAGAGGGACGGAGCACAAGCTGTACGGGGGGAGCACGTTTACGGCGGGGGGGCCGCCATATTCGATTAGTAATCACCACACATAGAACTCACTATTTGCGTATGTGTGAAAAATGAAAGTCAGATCCTGCGCACAATAAACAAAATAGGAAATAGAAATAGGAATAATTATTAAATATTAGAAATAAGAAATTGAAATTATTTATTTTAAAAATAAAAAGAATAGAAAAAATTAATGCATGAATTAAGAAATAAGAATTGGAATTAATTAATATATTTTATTCTCTTGTTAGATGTAAAATAATTTCTTTTTAATATTAAATGATTATTGCTATTTTTAATATTTTGTCTACTGTATGCAGAGCCTCAGAGTAATAAAAGTTAAAGTATTTTATAAAATTTATAGTACAACAATAATAAAACCGCCTAATCTCTTTACGCTTGTCACTCGTTATGTCTAGTGGCACCACTATACGAATGTAACCATGTCACAGACACAGAATCTCTGTGTGAGAATCGCTACATCAATATGGCGGAAAGCAGTCCCCCCCGCACGCTTGAATTGCCTTCCCCTCTCGCCTAAACTAGGACTTTAGACTGCTTTATTATTGGATATCGGCGTCGTACGTCAAACATTGTGCACAGTGTGAATCCTTCATAAGAACAGACTTTGAATACCGCCCTTAGGAGCCCCCCTTTCCACAGCGTTGTACTACTCGTGCAATTGCCAAAGCCAGCGGGTGACCGGAGTCTCGAAGCATTAGGTTTGACATACTGACCGTTGCAGTTATTTATTCTCAAAATAACCGTCGAAAAGTTCAGTGTAACAAGTGTTAGGGTTTTTTTATTAATGAAATGGTCAGGACTCTTATACAGCGATGGAAGAAGAATTGGATATCAAAGAGCCGCTAATGTTAACTCCTTTGAAGAAAAACAAACGTGGCCAGGTAAACAATGATGAATAAAAATTAATAATTTGTTTATAGCATCGGAACACCGGAGATTATAATTTTAAAGCTAAAAATTTCCTTTTTAGTATGAGTTCACTGCGAGAAAAATATGTTGAAATTTAATAAATTGTTTGAAAATTACGAGTAAATATTTTTTGATATAAAAAAAATACTTAAAATTACATATTCAAAGAGAGAGAGAGAGAGTTTGTTATTACTTCTTTTTGAAACGTATCTTTTTTATTTGTATTTTCAGCTCATCCACAGTAGTCAGAAGCTCCAGATTATTAATTTACACAAGAAATTGAAGAAAGAAAATCCAAAAATTTTAAATAAAGATGCTGTTGCTCAATTAGCAAAAGAGACGGGTATTGGTGCTTGCAGCATAAAAAATATATTGTTGCAGTATAAGCGCACAGGTGCGATTTCAACCCCAAATAAACAGAAACGTCGCCTAACTTTCAAAGAAAAAATCGATGAATTTGACAAGAGTACTATTAGGAGAAAAGTTCACGAATTTTATTTCAATGATGAATTACCAACGTTGAACAAAGTTCTGCAAGCTGTAAATGCTGACGAAAATCTCCCAAATTTTAAACGATCGACCTTTCACTTATTGTTAAAGGAACTAAATTTTACATATACTTGCCGACACCACCATAGAATCCTGACAGAGAGAGAAGATCTAATTGTTTGGAGAAGAAACTATCTAAGAACTATCAAGAGATATCGAGAAGAAGGTCGGCAAATTTATTACCTGGATGAGACTTGGGTTAATGTCGATGACGACACGCATACAATTTGGATAGAAGAAACAGTTAAACCCAAGAAGGGCGCATTTCTCCGAGGGTTGTCTGAGGAGCCAACTAATCCAAGCGGAAAAGGCAAACGATTATTAATTGTTCTGCATATTGGCAGTGCTGCTGGTTTCGTTCCTGGTGGGCTTCTATGTTTCGAATCAAAACATACGGGGGTTTATCATGACGAAATGAACGATACATTTCTTGAATGGTTCAAAAGTATTTTACCATTGCTAGACAACAATGCTGTTATTGTCATGGACAACGCTCTATATCATTCTGTGAAAGTGGAAAAACTGCCGAATACTTCCTGGAAAAAAGCCGAAATAATGAAATGGTTAGAAGGTAAAGGAAAAGAAATATCGGAGACTATGGTAAAGGCCGAACTTTTGCAAGTTGTTGCACTACAAAAAAACAAGTTTGATAAATATGTCATAGATGAAATGGCAAAACAGGACAATAAAACGGTTCTTAGATTACCTCCGTATCATTGCGAACTTAATCCAATTGAAATGGTATGGTCAATGGTTAAAGAATACGTTAAGAGTAATACGGATTCTTTTGAAATACAAGATGTAAAACTATTAGTTGAACAAGGTGTTAATCGGGTAACGTCTGAACATTGGAGTAATTTTATTAGGCACGTTAGAAATGAAGAGAAAAAGATGTGGGAGATCGACGATATAGCTGATAAAATGATTGATAGTATATCTCCATTACTGATTATCACAAACGAAACAGATTCTGAAATCTCTGATAGCGATTATTAATCTTGCATGTCAATCTCGTATGTAATATTATTATCTACATGTTTTTTGACTTCTATGTGATATTATTATAATTTTTATGTTATCTTTGTATATAGGCTTAGTTTACACCGTTTGTGTAGTACGCGTACCAAGTACTAAATCAGTATTCTTTGATTGGTGTAGATTTTACACTAAACGATTTATACCTATCGGAGAAGCAGATTTAGTATTTGGTACGCGTACTAAACAATCGGTCTAAACTAAGCCATTATTTTCGTATATTATATTACTGTATTAGTTATGACAAGCCCTAATAAAAACATGTTACTATTATGGATTTAATTGTTTCGTAAATCATAAACATTTAGCTATGTAATTTAAATATATTACAACGATTTGATATCACATTGAGATTTCGAGATTATTCACCCGCTTAATTTTCTAAGCCCGGGTCCGAGCATTCCGTATTTATGAGTAGCTCACTGCTCCGTACATGAGTTGAATATTCTGTTATTCATCTTTATGTGAATAGACTTTTAGGTTGTGATCAGTCATCCTCACTTTCGAATGTAAACAATGGGAAACATAACCTATTTAGATTCGTGCAGTAGTAAAAAATGCAATGTTACAAATATTTAATTGTCGATAAAAATCACTGAGAATAATATTTTTTTTCGATATTTTACATTTTATGTGGCATATGCATCGACTATGATATCTTACAAGAAATTTCTGCAAATATAAAATATAATCAATGAAAAGAAGATAGGGAATGGATATTACATTAAATGTCAAAAAAGACTATTTATAAAAAAAGAAGGAGAGTTGTATAGACGTGAAGCAGTGTTATCCTAATTATTATTACATCGAATACCAACGAAAATGCCGGTTTATCAAGAAGCAGAAGTACTAATCTTTTTCTATCATAATAAATAAATGTAATAAACAGTATAAAAAACAGTGATACATTTGACAAGAAGATAATTAAAAAAATAAATAAATAATAAATACATATTGGTTCATTCATAATTTTTGAGAAAATAGTTTTGTATTTAAAATGTAAGAAAAAATTAAATTAAAAATTTTTGAATAATAGAACATGATAGAAAATTATTGAAAAAATTTTATATTATTTCTACATCATTTTTCAATTTCAAAACTATGTAACTACTATAAAAATTCTTTACATATTTTTTATTTGTTTCTCTCATGGAAAATTGCTTCTTTCAGATTGTATCACAAATTTATTGGAAACTATATATATAATTTTCTTTCTTGTTTATTTGACAAATATGCATAATTAATATTTTTCCAGCAAATTCAAGCACAGACAATTATTGTTATTCATCCTGGTTCTATGTATCTTCGTATGGGTCGTGCTTCTGATTTGAAGCCTATTACATTATTGCATGCAGTGGCAAGGAGACGTTTATCAAATGGGACAAAGTACAAAGATAGTTTCTTACCTCCAGCTGTGACACTAGTAAATATACAAATATAATACTATAAAAACGTTTTGTTATCTCGGTTTCATCTACAATTGTCTTTGGCAGACGAAGGAGCTAACACAGGGAATGGAAGAGTCTCGGCTGCAAGTGTCGCATACTCTACAATCTTGTTTACAATCGGATGGTAGCAGAAGATACGCAACTCCACCACAGCAGATAGCAGCTTTCAATCGCAGATCTAGTCCAGAAGTCTCTTCACCGGGTAACATGAAGTGGACAAAAACCGATCGCAATATAGTAGTCGGTGATGACATCTTATCGCTAGATCCAGAGGAAGAATCCAATTTTAATATCCATTTTCCATACAAAAGAGGCGAACTTAATATTCATTTGGGTCCAGGCGGCAGTTTGACAGCTATCATGGCAGATTTGAAAACAATCTGGGAATATGTGCTGACTGAGAAACTAGATATTCCCTTGAGAGACTTGAAGCATTATCGTGCAGTGCTCGTTATACCAGATATTTATCATCGACCTTACTTGAAAGAATTGACTACATTATTGCTAGACGAGATTGGTTTTGGCCGCTGTATTCTGTTACAAGTCAGTTTATGTTTATGTTATGTATTCCAAAAAGAGAGAGAATTTGCGTTTGCAACTATTAAAGGATTTTTACTAACAAACTAATAGTTATTAAATTAACAAGTAAATTAGAAATTAAATATAATTAATATTCTTACCTTATTGACAGGATCATGTAGGTGCAATGTTTGGAGCAGGTCTTGGTTATGCGTGTGTAGTCGATGTTGGAGCTCAGAAGATATCAGTATCCTGTGTGGAAGATGCAATCTCTCATAAGGACACGCGAGTGCGAATGGATTACGGCGGAGCAGATGTCACACAGACGTTTTTCTGGCTTCTGCAAAAATCCGCATTTCCATATAAATTATGCGATCCTGCAAACAAACTGGATGCATTACTCTTAGATCAACTAAAGATAGATTTTTGTCACGTGGATTTAAATGTGTGTGGCTCACAGGAGAAAACATTTGTCGTTAGAAAACCCAAGCAACAAACAGAAACATATACTTTGCAGGTATACTTATTGTATACTTATTTTTGTTAAAAAAACATTTTTTCTTGTGTAATATTGAAATGCATTGAAACTTGAACAGGTGGGCGATGAATGTTTAATAGCGCCTTTAAGCTTATTTCAACCAGAATTGTTTAGAATTACTGGAACACATAATGTTCACGTTCAGAAACGGTCATCGGGAGATCCAGAAGATCCTTATGACGAGAATTATTTAAGGGAAACGAGTGTAAGTATCTATTCAAATATTGATTGATGAAACAGCAAGACTTGCTAGCACAAAATATTATTTGTTTGGAATATAAGAAGTTATTGCGTAAGATATTAATAACGAAAACGTAAAAATGTTCACTTTATTTTTAATATTTATATGAAAACTCTGAAAATCTAATCAAGCAATATTTTTCGCTTTACCTTTTTCAAACTTTATTAAACATGTTTCTGTTTTATGCAAAATTAATTATACTAATTTTGATTTCAGAGGCGTGGGATGAAAGAAACTCTTGATCATTCGTCAGAAATGCAAGAGGAGACGGCGACTGCACCTGCAACTGCTGGCGAGGACGAAGTTGTAGTTGATGCAGTCGGCGATTCTGCACCCAGTTTATCCAATCGAGATTTAGATGCTCCCCGAGATTTCGTGGTCCCGCAACAATTGCTAGGTCTTGATCAAGCTATTCTGCAGAGCATTGAACGATGTTGTAGGTATATAAAGATTTATCTGAAATAAAAAGGCTGTAACTAAGAAAAAACATATAAAATTAATTCTATTTTCACAGCCAATGATGATTTCAAGCGAAAAATGTATAGTTGTGTACTGGTCGTTGGATCGGGTTTGAAATTTAAGGGCATTGGCATGTGGCTTCGCAACAGAATATCTCTTCAAACACCTTACATGTATAGGCCTGGTACGTATTTCCTTTAGTTCTTCCTCTGATCAACAACTGTGCATCGTATTCTATTAAAATTACAAACGAAAAATTCGTCATTGATATTTGTAATATATATTGGAATAAATCAGTTATTCCTTACATGTCATCACATGATATTTTATAGCGTGAAATATATAGAAAAAGTGGTAAAATATATTTAAAACTTTTCTAATTTGAGAATTGATAATTGTAAATTTTGAATTAGCGTTAAAAGAACAAAAAACAAAAATTGCGTTAGTTTTCTTGCTTTATCACAGAACAACTGGACATTATAACGCAACCGAAGGATATGGATCCTGGTATGACAACATGGAAAGGTGCAGGGATTTTGAGCTGTCTGGAATCAGCACAGGAATTATGGATTACTCGAACTGAATGGCATCGTTGGGGAGTTAGGATATTAAGAGAAAGATCTCCATTTTTATGGTAAAAAACAATCACTACATTATTTTATAATTGTAGCACTATCAAACACAACTAATTAAATGTTCAATAAGTTACGACTTTTTAATTGTAACTGATACAAATACACCTATACAGATCTATTTACATTTTTGTATTTAGAAAAATAAATAAATTAATTAATAAAAAAAATAAATTCCAAATAAAAACCATAAAAATTACAATAATTATAGTTAGATAGTTTAGAAACAATTTTTAATAATAATCTAATAAGTACATCAGTAATATAAAATTGTAAAATATTAATTACTTATCGAATATTACAATAGCTCAATCATTTTAATTTTAGTCTTGTCGTTACGATGATATTGTATTATATTAGCTTCCAAGAGATAATGTACAAATTCTAAAACATCTGGTGTAACATCTATATAAACATCGTCTCCGCCTTTTGAATAAGCAGCTGTTAATGTCTGAAATTGTAGTTTTATATATTAATTACAATAAATTAACTTGATAAAAAGTATAGATTGTGTATTATAAAAATATCACAAACCGCTAATAAGTCATTGAGGTCCACATTTTTAGGAAAAATTATGTCAACTGTGTTAGCCTGCAAAAAGAATTTGCCAAATAGAAGATATCAATCCTACTATTTATTTTCATCTTTTTAAAACTTGCATAAATTTATATAATAAATATTTCGCTTTCAAAAGTTGCAATTTTACATACCAAGTCTTTCTTTATTTCTTTAAATATACGCTTGGACACAATTAGTTCCTTTTTATACATTGTATTTGCAAAAGTATTTGTGGCATCTAAATAAGCTTCTTGCATTTTATCAAGTCCACTTTTTTTATTTTTTAAACTGCAATAAATATGGTGAAAAGAATATGAGAATTTTTGCATCGCTATGTATATACTTACTATGTGATATCTTCCTGAATATCAGAAAGCTTTTGTTGAAGATTATCAAAAAGCTCTTGCATATCATGAATGTCTTTTTCTATTTCGGTTATTAGTTCTAAGCGTGAATCAGACGTTCTCAAAATTGGATAATCTTTAGGTTCTATTTGTTGAATTTGTTTTAATAAATTTTGATGTAGTTCTTTTTGCTTCATCTTTATATCCTCCAATGAACTTGATGTTTTTAAAGAAAAAGTTTCATTGTTTGACAGTATTTTTATAAAGTTTTCTATACTTTTTTCCTGCTTTCTTTTCTTTTCTTGCAATAGTACAAGAGCATCTTCAAGTGTATATTCCATATCCATCTTTGTTTTAATATATGCTGAAAAGACTGATGAAGTAAAATTCACTACTTGTTTAATACTGCAAATAAAAGAAAATACATTTCTCTAAAAATGAAAATGTATTGGAGTATAACCTTCTCACAAGCAACAAAAAACAGCTAAATAGAATTACACACACGTTAATGCTATTGCTCCCGTCCAGTGATGCAAACTCGAGCCGGCCAGCCCTGGTGCTGGCCGGCTCGAGTTTGCATCACTGCTCCCGTCAAAATTCTGACACTCAGCATGGAATTATGGTAGATCCACACTGTGTCCGCCATTTAATGCATGATTTTCAACAATGGCTCCCAATGAAAAAATTTATTTTCTAGGGACAAATATAGAATTATATAACAAAGTTTCAAGAATTCACGATTTTCTATTGGATACAAACAAGTTGCATTGAATGCAGTGTAAATCCCATCATTATTCTTGCAGTTTTACTTTTGAACATCAACGAATGGTGTATGTATATATTTTTAATAAAGTGATTTCTAACCAAACCTTAATCAAACACAAATCAAATATTCTTAAACAGTATTATAATGATCTAATACCGAGCAACGGAAATTTAATTTAGTTATCAGTCATTTATTGGTTAGATAATTAAAAATGATTATACAATCAAATTAGCATACGATCACTTACACTCACGTGTTCTGCCAATACTTCACAGCCACGGGACGCCTGATCACGTCTTACCAATTTCCATTACCAGAGAACTCCTATATATTCGGAAAAAGATTTATGTTCGCCGATAATTATTATTCTAATTGATTATTAGCAAGATTGAGAGAACGTAAAACACGAGGCTTGGAGGATATAGATGACATTTATTTAATTATTTTATTATTTATGCTACTGAATGCTATATTCGTAATAGATATCTATAATTATGTCGATAATCATGCGTGAGTCCGTAGAATGCGTGAGGTCAGCCGCGCGATTTTACAGCCCGTGTGTGAACGGTGTTACAATGAGTATGCGTCATGTAAATTAATTACAAGGATAGGACAGGGCCAAACGTGAGGGGAAGAGAAAAGGGAATGCTGCTTTGAAAATGTGAATTCGCTCGATAAAATTTAATCGACCACGCATAATCAGTTTTTGCCCGCAACTTCATCCGACTGATCTGCGAAGAACTAATGCGCGATTCGATTTATATCTCTATCTTCTTTTTTTCCTCTTACCCTTCGATCGCGATCGAATATTGGACCGGGCCCTCTCGATCGCGAATGTGTAAATACGAGACTTATAACGGGACTTAATCACTATCTCGAATTATATTTTCAACCCTTTCACTACCGATTTCTCAATTTGTCCATTGCAAAGGAGCAGATCTCAACGTCGTATCTGCCAATCGTAACTTTAACTCGCTTGTATTTAAAGTAGTGAAAGGGTCAAACACGTACTCTTGCGACGAAGACTTTACTTTTTTACACTCGCTCTTCTATACGTTAATGCCGAAATATATATATTCTTAAATAAAGAATATGAAAAGCGAGATAATGATTAAGTCCGAATACATACATTTAAAAACTTAGCAATATACATATACAAGGACGTATGTAACATAAGGCGCAATCCCATCAAGGGATTGCGGAAATCCGTTCCCTTCGCCTTATATGACGGATTAAAGTACAATCGAACTCCTCTAATCTCAACTCATCAAGGCTGAGAAAAACCTTCTATTATCTTTTAATTCGCAATTTTATTGTACGTTTTTATTTCGCAATTTCATATGTTTTAATTTAAAATTTTATTAAATGTTTCTATTTTATGCTAATAAAATGACAAATATGAAATATTGTTGTAACAAAACCATTGCTCTTTTGCATATTTAATGTAAAAGCAATCATACTCCGCTACTATAGTCAATAAAATATGTTTTGTTATGTTATTTTTATGAAAAATTTAACTAAATTTTTTATAAAAATAATTTATTGCAGCAAAACAATTTGTTCTTATAGCGAAATAATTTTTAGAAAATTATTTCGGACACATTATTATATTTTAATATAATTAGTATTATATTAACATATTAATGTAATTAATATTATTCTTAACCATAGTCTTTTGTGGTCAAGATAAGAATTAACAGTGAAATATCGTTTGTTAACTTTACGAAACAATAGCATAAAAAATGTTTCAAATATTTTGAAACATTTTGAATAAAATTTTTTTTCTCATTGATAATACGAAAATCGAAAACAGACTGATGCGAGATTAGAAGAATTCGTTGTGACTCGATAATAAAATTATCAGTATTCTCCTCCGTCGCAATACACCTTGATCATTGTATCTGTTCTCATTAGCTGCACTTCCCTTTACGCTTTCTATACTTAAAACGAAACAACTATACGTTTACGCTTTGGAAAGAGAAAAAAGGAAGAGAAGAAGCGTAGAAAAAAAGTGTATCTAAAAAGAACAGACGTAATGAATGCCCAGAAAAAACTTCTTATGGAACTCTATTCTTTATACAAAATTACCATGTAAAATATCCTGAATGCAACGGTAGAGAGAGAGAGAAAGAGAGAGAGAGAGAGAAAGAGAGAGAGAGCAATCAAAATTATCGCCTTTTCATATCTCTTATCTCCTCTAAGAAGAAATCAATTATTTGCTAAATTAAATTGCGATAATCGAGGGATCTCATGCGTGTATCGCTCTCATGAAAGGGACGTCGCGCTTTCAGACGAATCTTGATAATTCACGATTAATGATACAGCAATGAGAAATTCGAGTATTTATGGTAGTACAGTAATTTCGGAGATATTGCACAATAGTGTATAAAAAATTTTGTCCCAAGAACATTGTCAAAAGGAAATAATTATATCGAATTTAAGAGAAAAACGCATCGTGTATAAAATCTGACGGCAATTACACGATCCAGTTAATTGTTTTTATAAAAATTGTTAAAACGGTGATCCTAGCAATTATTCACGACCGATTACAAAGCATCGAAAGGACCTCAGGAGCATAGTCATCATCCTAGCAAGTTACATACAATCACACAATAGTATTTAAGATGCTGAATTACAGTCGGTAACTTACCAATTATTTGACGTGTATGATATCTGACGAGATAAATATTTAATAAGGATATACTTTAGAAAACAATTTGTAATAAACCTGCAAGAAAGTATTTTTTAGGCACATAATACAATTTTTTTTGAAATATTGCTTCTCTCTTCTAAAGACTTTTAAAAAACAAAAATAATTTTTACAAAAGAAAACATCTTACAATTTTTCAGATCTTTCAAATGCATATTAAGACATTATATTTTATTAAACGAGATCAAATTGATATTTGATTAAATAAAACTCAAATAAAGCCAATTAATTAAAATTGTGTTGCACCAAATAAATATTTAAACCAAGAGATTGACTTCTTTCCCATTTCTTAATCAACAAACAGCAATCCATAATTAATAATTATCCAGTAATAATTTTACAACTCTATCATTTATAAAAATAAAGTCAAATGTGCTACAATTAAAGCACATTATACAAATGACGATTAAAATTGCAACGTGTCTTTTTTTTTTGAAATGTAAAGATTCATAAACATATCAAAGCAAACATCAAATTCTGTTTCACATAAGAGCTGATAAAAATTCGTACATGATGAATGCTACAAACAGTGTCGTGAGTCGTCCAGAACCGCGATTGATTATCGCGGAACGCGGTCACAAAAAAACACAAGTCCATAAGCAGGATGCTCTGTAACCGGTTACAAATATAAATGGAACGCCCCTTTCCTCTCGTAAACTTGCTTGCTTGGGTGAGATGGTAAGATAATCGCATACTTATCGTACGATAGAATTAATTTGGTCCTCGATCGTGACGGAATACCAAAGGTCTTCCACATTCGGACGACGCAGCTTCCATCTTCGCGACAACGACGAAGGATATACACTTGGATACTGCGATGGAGATTGTCGCAGAGAACGGACAACGACTGCGATCGAGAAAATCGTTTGGGAAATTTCGCGGGCTATTCCTGGAATGCATTCCTCGTAAAAATTTCAGAAGTTTAACGCGTTTACATTAATATAGTATCACTCTCTCTCACGTTCTAAGATACTGGAACAATGTTCGCGGTCGCAGCCCGAAGATGGGCGTGCGCTGAACGAGCGAGCGATGAACAAGCAAACAGCAAATGCAAATTTTTCTATTCAAGATACAGAAAATGTTCGTGTAATGATAAATGCAACGATCGTTATACAAATGTGCATTCATTTTCATTTGGTTTGATTTGCATAACACGACACACGTAAGAAAGTCTTAAATAGATTCTCAAGATTCTCATGATTCTGATGATTCTTAAAATTTTTAAGATTCTTAAATATAGATTATAGATTAGTAAGATTCTTAATAAATTAAGTCTTGGAATATAGAGATTTGTCTTTGTGCTCGCTCACATTTGCTCGTTCGCAGCGCGCATACCCATCTTAAGGATAACAACATTGTCAATGTCACTGTACAACATTACTATGTATGTGAAAACGTCGGTCGACGTGAGAGTCGCACGAAACTGATGCTCTCTTTCTGTCTCCGTCTCGAGGATCTCACTTGTCCTGGCACGGTGGCTTCTCGTCGACGTCGCAATAACGCGCGGCAAAAAGGATCACCGGTGCGCACAGAAAGAGATCTCTTGCGCCCTTCCTCGGTCAAATCGGTCTACGCCGTTCGGCTCGGATATAAGAGAGGAGAGGAAGATCTTGCAAGGAGAGGTGCAGTAGAAGTCCGAGAAATGGATGAAAGAGAGAGAGAAAGAGAGAACGTACGAGGAAGGGAAGGGTTGGTTCCACGGCACAGGGGGTTGATGGAGGGATATAGGAATAGTTTTACCGGACTAAAGGAAGAAAGGAAATCGATTGTGTTTTATCCCTTAAAATTGTTAATTTGGTCTCGGGGTCCAACGACTCGTGAAGAGTTATTGTATGAAATAATCGGGTTGATCTGAGTCCTTCTCAAACCTCTTCGCCTCTTCCTGCATGCTCTCCTTGATCTTCAAAATGGCCGCTGACTCGGTCTGATCCTGCGAATCAACCAACACCAGGCCGGTTACACGTAAACGATCAGGCAAGCCCACCAACCTTGCCCAAAGTTCCGCGCAGCGTCTTTCACCGGCGAGGATCGTGGGACTCTCTCGGTAAACGCGCGCCGGAATTTCGATAACGGCGTGCATGTGGAAGCCAGTAAGAGATTGCTACCGGAGGTAGGGTCTTTCGTTTTATCTCACCCGTCTCAATCTCTTAGTAGGCTTCCAAGACAAAAAGAGCATTCGCGATTCACGCGGAAAGCGGGGCGAACCGAGGAGTCCCGCGAGAGGAAAACAAAAATCCGTCTTCACCCACGTGCGAAAACGCTGGCCGGTGAATGTACGCGTTAAAAGCGCAGCGTGATGGCGGTGCGTGGTGAAGGGGCCCGGGCTTGTGAGAACGAAATAAAAACTCCGTGTGGACAGGACACTGGGAGGTGTCGGTCTCGTAGTCAGGAATCGAAAGAAAAGTTCAGGTACTGCTTGTTTTAAGGGTGCTCTGACCCACAACACATGGACGTTACGTAAGATAGTGAAGCCCGTGTCGAGCCAAAAATAATACATAGCAACAATATAATATAGCATGATAATGATAATCATAACGACAATAATAATAATGGCACAACGAAAATTCGTTATCGCCTGCCTGCCCCCCCCCCCCACGCACGCACACCTCACATAAACGACAGGTAGTGTAGTGAAAAAAAGCTACTCTAGAGAAACTCGACGTGTCGTCCTTCACACACTTATATTTCCCCTCTTGGCGGAAGACTCTGTTTCCGCCTCCCTTCTAAATTTTTATCTCGTTTACTTTCCGAGTTCCGATCTCGCAATCCATCAATTCGCTTTGCGCTGACGCATATCCATGTGCTACAGGTCAGTACAGGCTAGTACTATATACAGCTATCGTTTTGTTTTTCTCTTTACGTATTTTCGCTATGAACCGAATAGAGTACTCAGGAAACGAAAGTGCAACATCGATCGTGACAATGTGTTCCACAGCCGTAGTGCCGCAACGTTTAACAAAGAAATAGCGTCTGAGGATCGATAAGGTCATCGACGGCTCAAGACCGCTTTCGACGATCTGTGCGATTCGCGAGAAAATTCGAGATATAAATCTATTTATAATTCTGCGTAACAGAAAATTATATTCCAACAGTCGACAATGCACACATACAAAATACATATACAGGGTGCTTCGAAAAATGTTAACTTATATGGAAGTAACTTTTTTTAGAGACACAGAACTGATAACGCAATAATTATATTAACAAATGTATTTTGTCTTCAAAGAGCCTCCACTTGTTCACCATCATTGTCAACATATTCGTGGAATCTTCTCCAGGTGGTCTCCAAGAGGCACACATTTCTCCATTTACAAATTCTCTATACAAGTATTAACATTTTTCGAAGCACCCTGTGTATCTCGTATGTGTGTATCTTCTGATTTTCCAAATGTTTCCTGCATTACATGACACATAAAATTGTTAGAAATATACAAGAGTTTCCATCATTCATGTACAGATTATTCGCTCTACAAAGACTTTTTTATTATGATATAATCTATCTTTTGCCTGAACAATGTCAAAAAATATTTTGACTAAATGTATCGTATTATTTATATGATATTGTTAAAGAAAATTGTCTTAAGAACGATGGAAACTTTTGCACACCCCTAATATAAGCGAAATTCTATCTCGAATTTCTGTCGCGAGTGACAGTCGATCGTCCAAAGTCGGCTTCGGAATTAGCGATTTGAAAGTAACGCGACGCACTATCGGCTGATGGAATGAATAAAGCGACATAAGTGAAACACAAGTGGTGTGTGTGTGTATGTGATTAGCACAAGTGCAAATACACGGAGACAGATAGTTATATATAAATACAATGATAGCCAGCACCCCTCGGATTGAATCGTAAATAAAAAAGAAAAACGCAATAGTCTCAGTGTAACAGGATTACATTTATTGTCTCGATCTTCCCTGGCTTAGGTATATATTAATTATGTTACCATTCCAGCGATAAGTTTCGGCGGCTTACAACGTGGAGTATATCAAAGTAAGTCGGCATTAAGGGTACCAAACTGCGCCCGTCCGCGAATTTCGTGCTATACTTCTACGTCCGGAAATCGAGGTACAAACGTCGCGTTCAGTTCGATCGTGAAATCGTAATTCGCACATCGTAATAGCCGATGATCCGATGATTCTCATCCTACGAGTCGCGTTCAAGCTTCGTACCCTCAATGCGCCGCTTCACCGAGGCTTTCCTTCACTTATTGACTTCGTGTATATTTTCGCATTAAAACGAAAGAATTTATACGACTTCCAAGCGCGTGTACTTTCTTTTCTCCGTATTTTATTTTATTTTTTTTTTATTATTATTATTTATGTACGGGCTTAAACGGCAAGACGTGGACTCCGGGATATCGGCAAGCGAGTGCGCAGACTGTCCCTGCAAGACTATCCTGCAGTGTCTCTTGCAACAGGCGGCAAACAATCTCAGGCAGATGAAGATCGCGCGAGACAAAAGCGATTACAAGATAAAAAAAAAAAAACCCGTCACCACGTTTCACGCGCGATTATCCACGATTATCTCAACGTCGCTGCCAGGACATCGAAGTTTGAATGTGCTAAACAATTAATACGACAAAAAGATTTTGGCGATTACTCGCGACGTCATGAATGCCATCACAAACTATACTTTGTACTTATTTGCATCTCGTAACAATGTGACAAATACTTCGAAGCAAAACACCCTGTTTCGTCGTAGCAAACAATCTGTTAATCCACGATCCCAGGTCGGAAAAATAAAAAGCGTTAAGAGAGTAGCCTTCTCGTAACAACTTTACCTTCACGAGACGAGATAAAAAAAACTTGCAAGCGTCTTGCCGTCGATCCCAGAGCATGCACTTGCGCATACGCACATTCATTCCTCTTCCGATCTCGTTCTCTCCCTTTCTCTCCCTCTCCCTCTCACCCACATTCTCTCCGTGTATTTCTTTTTTTTTTCTTTTCCTTTTACATAAATATTCCATATCGATGTGTTTCTCGGCACTATATAAGTTAATTTAAACATAACTAATAGCAGCACAGTATAGTCCAGTACTGACCTATAATCAATGCGGACGGATGGATTCCGTGAATCTCTCACGCCTCTCAACCCTCATCGCATTATCCTGTTCCTGTCTATCTACATGTCGCTCTTTAAGGTTCAGTACTCGCACGTCTAACGTATCTTATGTTCATACAAAAATATTAACGTTTGCGTTGATGTATATAGATATTTGTATATATATAAAATTTCTCTTATACTTTGTCTCGAGTTCACTCCGTTTTAAATTATTGACAGTAAACCATTCGTCTCGCAATACGAGCTCGCGGCGCGAGCCGTCGAATTATCATTCACTGGGAAATCTATTACTGCACAATCTTAATAATTAGCCACCAGAGTGTCGCAGACTGCAAACTAGAACCAATTAACTTTCACGAATCGTCGTTGTTCGAATCGAACAAGTGTGTCAACAAGCGAAAAAATATACATTGAGAGTTCTGCTTCTGAAAAAAAAATTCCTCTCTCCGGTCTACGAGTAGGATAAAAATATTGAGCAAATGACGAGCTTTCTATATATGTTACACGAGAACAACGGCGAAACTAAGCGACGGGTCACGAAGTACGTTGACCGATTCTACACAGATTTTCAGCGAGAGATCAAATTTAAATAGGAACGATCTTTTTAATTATCGCATTTGTGTATTACCGCACAGACAATACTTACGCTATGCAGAAAGCGATTAGAAGCGCGACGCGATTTGTATACGAATGAATCATGCTATCGCGAAAATTCTGATACTCTAATCGAGAAAGATTATTGAAAGATTCTGCAGCAGCGCGCGAGCTTCTCCCGTAAAGTCAATTGTCTGTTAATTGTGTCTACAACGAGAATAATATCAAGTCAGTTTTTGTATGTTCATGTAAATTTTGTTCCGTAAGTAGAAATAACTCATGCGTAGATAAAACGTGCGTGAGATACTGCAATGCTAGTGACCGCAAAACGCTGCAAGAAGGACCAAACGTCTATTCCTAATGTTTTAAGAGCAAATTGTGAGCAAACAATGGAGGGATTCGGTTGCGTAAACTATTCACTTCATTACAGAGTCTTGTGATCGCTAAGTAATGGAAAGATTCGAGCCAATAAATTAAAATTTTGCCTCTTAAAAAAATTAACATTTCTCAAAACGTAAATCTTTTTAAAGCAATTCAAACAATCATTAAAAATTTAATGATGATTGTAAAGGAACCCGCGTTCCAAATATTCGCGTTTCTCTTATAGGAATCTTTACCTGCTGTAAAATCGTTCACACCGCTAAACTCTACAATACGATAAACAAACAAATCAAATACAAATCAGTAATGCGTTCAATGATTAAAAAAAAAAAAAAGAAAAAAAAAAATTTAAAAAAATAAAAAACAAGAGCATAAAAATTCGGATCAAAAATTATGCGATCAGTAATCACAGTAGCGGACAGTTATATACGTATATCCTATATTCGAATAGGCGGATCGTGTATATACGTATTTTAATATGCATACGTATCTTATGTAACAACCTTTCCGTGATTTCTTTCAGGCACCTTTCCTTACGACCTAATTGTCGAAATAAATATAAATAATAAAAAATAATCTGATAAAGCTTAAGTAGACGTTAACTACCTTCCGTAGTGAATTGTTTAGATATAATTATAATATATATATATATATAAATAAAAAAAAAAAAAAACAAAAAGTTATGAGAGCGAATATATTCTAGTCTTGCAACCTTCTGAGTATTTAGAGAAAGCATATACATATATTCCTACGCGGTGAGGCGCATATATGGACGAATTAATCGTTGTTCAAGTATCTGCGCCGCCTAATAGTAGCAGTTCAATGAATGAGCGCTTAAATGCTAAAACCCTAATCGAGCAGGAGCAATCGTTAACTGCCGCGCGTTTACGCTACGTCTTGACACGAGTAATTTTTTCCTTCCGCTCTAACTTGCTACAAACTTGAGCCATTGACGAAATTACATGTGCCGGACTAACAACGAAACTAGCCAGAGCGCATCATGGAAACACGTGAACACGCAGCGAGTCCGTCTGCGACGTTTCTCCGCACTACGTGTATATAACCGGCACAGCATATGTAGAGTCTACGGCATGTACGAACTCGGGGCTGCTTCCAAGGCGACTTGATTTTTTAAAAAAACTGTCGAGAATACAGAGAAGGTGCACGTACGTGATTACTGATAACTCTCTTTGGGTCGCAAGGAATAACCGCGACGCCACCACTTCCGGATTATGACGAATCTTCGTGGATTTTGCAGAATAACTGAAGATAACGCGTGTTTCTTGTTTTTTTTAGAGATTTTCACTTATAATCACACGCAAAACTAATAAAAATAATATTGCACAAAAAGTTTTAAGCTAGAAAATTAAATTAAAACAAGATATTATACTTAATGCACGAGATGTATTATTGCAGATAGTTTCTAGAAAACAATGTTCGGATAAATTTATGCAAATTATTTTAGAGAGTAGTTATTGAGCTGCTGTAGCTCCAATTTCTTAGAATAATTTTCTTTTGATGAAATAAATCTCGTTCATTTTCAGCTATCGTGCAAATCAGCAAAGTTTCAACAAAATCGGAGGCGAAAGCATCGTGACAGTTCCTTGTCATATCCTATTGATAATCCTATACAGCAACGCATAAAATTAGCATGTAAAATTGTTTTACGCGATTCAATCAAAGGTTCAATTACTTTGTCGCACAAAAGTAATTTGGTACTTCATCTTATAAAGCACGCAGAAAAAACTCGACAGACATATAAAATTTATTAAATAAAATTTTTTAAAAATAAAATTAATACAATAATGCCAAATATTGTAACTCGATTAAATATAAACGGATATATGAAATAAAACGGGATATTTTTGTTTTATTTAATGATAAACATTAATTTCTTTTCTAAAGTAATCCAATACTAAAATTTTTATGATATTAAAGCGAGTTTATAGCAGATTGAAATAAAAATTAAAGCTCAATCAATCAAATGATTTAAGATTTTTAATTATTCATAGAATTGAGAAAGGAAAAAATTAATTACATCTCGTTATCTTTCTGCCCGCTTTATAACTGCATCGTTAGACATATTGTTAGTGCAATAGTAGTTAGACGCAATTTCAGCGAATACAGTTATGACAATATTAGATGCGATCAGATAACATTGATTAAATTGACCAAAATACCATGTAACGCGTGATTAAACAGAACACCTTTTGAGAAATTTATAGGGACAAATGATACTCTGTAAGAAAGCATTAACAAGCCTGTTGGAGCAAGGCTAAGGATAAATCCCTTGAACATGGCTGAACCCATATTATTTTAGCAAAATATGTGAATATCCGTCGCACTGATAGAAGCGCTTGTGGCTGTTAATTGAGATGATTAGAAGGGCAATAAGTTGTAATGTGGATTCGTATTCCGATGAAGCGGCATAAATGCAATAGTGTAAAAACATAATCCAAAGTGAATCTATTTATCTAAATAAATTAAGCAATTCTAAAAGTGAATCTAAAATAACTCTTATATGATTTTCAGTCATTGGAGTCGATGAATGAGAACAATACATTGACGAGTACACAACAATACAAATCCACAACAACACGTCGAGTGATCATTGGGAAAGATTATTAAAGAACAAGTGTATACTCACATTCTCTCCAGGAGCTCCGAATCCACCCAGATTATAATCACCCATTCCACTGCCGCTATCTTCCCGCGGTGTCCCAGGACCGCCGTTAGCCGGACTGTTCTTCATCCCATCGAGACCGTCGCCGTTTAGAACCGGTCCCATTGTATTAGGACCCATGGGTCCCATTGGACCGCCTTCTGGTCCGCCACTCATCGGAAAATCCTACAAAATATTTACATCTAATATCTTCTCACTTATATCAATGCTTTACACTAGTTGCTTTCTCCTTGTTATTACAAAACTTATTAAAAAAGAATAATTGACCTAAAAATTGCCCTAAAAATGTAACAAAAAACACATCGTAGCGGCATTTATTATTTACTTACACCCGGCATATTTCCTCCAGGTACAGGTTTCATCATGGTATACATATTTTCTCCTCCGCTATTGCTGCTATCCTGAGGGCTGGGCATAATAGGTGTGCCGGGTCCCGGCGGTCCTGTTGACCCGGGTGGCCCTCCGTAGTTACCCGGTGATGACGACGAATAGTTCATTGGCTGCGTGAAAAAGCCAATGAATTAAAGAAAGTCATAACATTATAAAAAAAAAACGTACTTTACAATTGCATTAAAGACAGATTGAAATACAACAATTGAGAGGCAAAAGTTTATGTTAATGCTTCTTTATACCGTGGATGTGTTCGGTTGCCACTGTTGTCTACCACCCGGAGCAGCCATACTCATCGGCGGCATTCCGGGGCCTCCTGGTCCTCCCGGGCCCAAAGTACTGTTGGGCGGTGGACCCCTCATACCTGGACCGTAAGTTCCAGGACCCATCGGACCCATGCCTGGTCCTCGTGGCGGATTCATTCTCGGGTTCATGGGGTTCATTCCGGGCGGACCTAAGAGAAGAAGCAGCGTTAGATACATTCGATCGTAAACACGGGAGTGTTAACGTTTGTTCTAATGCTATGTTAATGCTGAGTGCTAATTACGATCTTGTGGACTAAACGGTAAATCGTGGACTTGTAAATTCTACGATATAATAATAATAATAATAATAAAATAAAAAAAAAAAAAAAAAAACAGTAATTTGTGTATATAAGATTGTGCTCTATAACGTGTGCGATTATGACATTAAGTGTGGGCTCAAAGTGCCGAAATTGAGAGTCATGCTTTGGCGAAGATGAGCTCAAGCCGATGGATGACATGCTACTGTCATCACGCAAATTAATTAACACAGTGAGAAACTCATGCTGAAGATAGAAATGGCATTTAGCACACAGTTTAGTACTGAATTATGAACAATTATTATTCTAATTACACATTCACACAAAAGTAAAGAAAATAAAAAAATAACTTTTATCAACTATGATGTTAAAATTCCTAAGTTATTTTAAAAGCGATTACTTTGTGCGATAACACATAGTAATTGTGTAATATCGTAGATCGTGATTGAATATTATTTTGTAAGGACGTATACAATGTGGCATTATAATAATGTTTTAAAAATACATGTATGTTAAACATAAATATGATCAGCCTATCTTTTCATCTGCATATAGCATGATCTCACAGTGCGCGGAAATTTTCGATTGATATTAGATGTTCCCATATGCGTCTTAATTGAAAAACGTCTAGATACATATATTAAAACTTCACTCCAATCTAATATTATGCATTACATGCATTACAGTTGTTCCTTAAATCAAGAAGCAAATGTGTCACAGAATTATTGCACTGCATCAAACAAATTCTTTGTAAGTCGTGTAGGCGTCATTTGTTACACACATAACTAAAATACTCGTATAATACTCTAATATGTTTAATTGCGATTGTCATGCTGGATGCTAGTTCGGATGAGCAAATCATTTTATAAGAGAGCAAAGCCGGTGCAATTATCTTTATGAAAATAGAAATTAAAAAAAATTAAAGGCAAGGAGGAGAAAAAAAAAATAAAAAGTTAGGCTTGATTAAGTGAGTGTGATTTGGTTGCTGGGTTGCTTCCTACCTTGCCACCCTACAAACTCTCCAGCTTCGCCTGAGGAACACAAGAGCACACATTAGTATGGCAGGTAGGTAAGGTCGGGTTCATGGTGGTAAAGCCTAGTTATTTTGCAGTGGTATAGCGGACAAAATTATTTCTGAATTCAATATTATAGCTATACAACTTGCTTACATATCGTATATTAGAAACTTTTATTGCATACGGGCAATTCTGTGAAACTGCGATCATATAACAGCTATTTGTTTAGGTAAAATAATATATAAGTGTTATGCAATATATTTATTTTTGTTATGCAAAAATTCATAAGATAAATTTAATAAAAATTGCAAATTTAATTGCAAATTGCCTTTTTGTGAATCAGCATACCGAGATGTCCTGATATTACGGAAAATATGTATCATATGTAACACGAATTTAAATAAAATTTTTTTAAAGAAAAAAAATATATAAAAGCATATCAAATAAAATATGTGATAAAGAGAACCATTGAATTACATATTTACATACTAATTACACAAAACTGAATATCTAGCAGTAACAATCGAACGCAAACTACACCACTGCTTGTAACTAGACAATTCAAAAACCAATCCACTCCACATCACAGCAATCCAATCCAATTTAAAATATTACTTATTTTATTGCTGTGTGGTTTTTGGTACGCATGCGTTTATGCCATTCTCCTTTCGCAACTCTCGTCAATGCCAGAAAAAAGTAATGTAACACTGGCATATAAAATGATCTCTTACCTTGCCTAGTGGGATCCATGCTATTTGGCATCATTGGTTGTCCTGGTGGCTGTGAGAAAAATAGAAACACAACATTTTAAATTTATAATATAACATTAAAACATATACAATACTTTAACATATAACATTTTTAAAACTTTCAATCATATTTATATATTAAGATAAAACATAAGAGAAATAAAATTAGAAAACACAAATACACTGTCATATCAATATTTTACTTAGAAAAGTATTTTCAAATGTATAATAAAAATATATAAATATTCTAAATTGATCAT